AGGCGTCCGAGTCATGATTGGTCACTGACACACTACGTGATTCACTAGAGAGGAGATCTCCTCACTTGGCGAGTGCTTTGTCGAGGCGTTCGAGACGGACACGGCGCGAGGCGCTCCTCGCGCGGGCCTGCTCAGCGGCGTCTTCCAGGTGAGTTGACTCGTTCATTAGTTCATTAGCCAGCGGCGACACAACCAACACACACACACACACACACACACACACACACACACACACACACACACACACACTTACACACACACACACACACACACACACACACACACACACACACACACACTTACACACACACACGCACACGCACACGCACACGCACACACACACACACACACGCACGCGCACCGGGCCTTGCACCTTTAGTGCCGCGGGGCTCCTGTCGTCTAGACGTGGAGTCGGAGGGCTGCCCGGCCCTTCACCACCTCGTGTGTGTGGAGAAGCTTTGCCGCACCTCACCTCTCCCAGGTGGTGCTCTTCGTCGCCGGCATCGCGGTGCAGTACGCCGTCTTCCCGCCCGACGGCATGCGCGAGGCGAGGGCGAGGGACAAGGCGCGGCGCCAGTCCCGCTACCTCGAGCTCAACGACAACTGACGGGGCGGAGGGAGGCGCGTGCAGCCTCGTGGCGCCAGGGACCGGCGCGGCGCCCTGGCTACCCTGCTGGCGGCCTGCTCGAGGCGTCGGATAAGCGCCGGCTTGTACGGCTTAGTTTACGCCCCGGTTGCCCGTTACGAGGGGGCAGGGGCCCGCCCTGCCCCTGGCCGCGGGGCGCGGGCGCCGGGCGCTACCGCGGGAGTAATTTGGATTTCGTGTGGTTGGAACCCGGGAGTACACATGTACGAACGTCCTTGATGCTTGAACTCCAGGGTACAGGTATGCCAGGCCCTAAAACGCTAACACACGGGCCCCGCACAGGCCACAGCCGTGGCGGAGTGTCCACAGACACACACGCCCTGCCCCCCCCCCCTCCCCCCTGCCTGCCGGCGGGAAGTGCACCGCATGCCACATATGTGAGGATGGCAGACCTGTGGTCCTCCGCTGGGACGGCGCTCTCTCACCCGGACGGCGGTACCCGCCAGACGGGCGGCGAGGAGGCGCTGGCGCCGG